AGCCAAGACTTGGGCCAACTGAGGTGTGGAATTTCTTCAAGCAGGAGCCTAGGAGGTTCCAAACTATGGGGAGAATGGTGGGGGAGGAACAGGAGTGATCACAGGTGGGAGGGATCACTGGAGAAAGGGAGGAGAGTCCACGGTTGCGGTGGTTCTGCATGGCTACAGGAGGCGGGCAAGGAGGGACTCCAGCTGGGAGATGAGCTGCTAGTCCTAGGGAGAAGCCGATGCGAGGAGCATCCCCTGCTCTGGAACCAGACTCTGACCTGAGATCACTGCTGTCCTCCTCCCAGGACAGCTGGGCACATGAAGGCTCAGCATGGGCTCTGGTGGAGGGTTCCTGGAAGGGTCTCTTCAGCACTCCCCTCCCCCATTGCCTACCCTCTCGCTGAGCCCATTTTCTGGGTTATGAAACCCCTGTTGCCGCCTTGACTTGCTTCCATCTGGGAAGGCTGTCTGGGGAGGCCTGCTTTCCAGCCAAGGCGCCACCGCCTGCTTGCCCAGCCCATCAGCTTCTGCCACACCCAGCTCTGCTGCAACTCTGGCAGGGCCGGCCCTGCCCCCTTCTGCAGATCACACTGTCTCTCTCCTTCCCTACCCCTGCCCAGGCCTCACATGCCTTCTCCTTCATTAATCCCTCAAGTCCAGTGCAGGCTAGCCCCCAAGCTCCTGCCCAGGCAAGGTCTGCAACCCTAGGAGGACCTACGTACACACCTTGCTGCCCCTGCCACCCAGTCTTGACTAGCAGCCAACTGTACCTTTCTTGGGGAGGTGGCAGGAGCCAGCCTCCAAATGGGGCAGATGTGTGTAGGAGAGAGTTGCCTGGGAGAGTTCATCCCCACTTCCTCAGGGCCTGTTAAAGGGCACCATACCCCAGATTCACCAGGGTCCTCAGTGGAGCTCAACTCACTTTTTTTTTTTTTTGAAGATTTTATGTATTTATTTATACAAGCACTGGGTACAATCAGAAGCGCGGGAAGGTGAGAGAATTCACCAGAGCCAGAGCGGGGAGCAGAACAGACACTGCTGAGGGGAGCAGCGAGCTCGGCAGGAGAGGTCTGTGCGCCATGTGGGACCCTCGCTGGTGGCCTGGGGAAGCTGCGGGCAGCTTTGCAGCCCAGCGCTCAACCACTGCACCACCCACCGGGGAGGCCCTCAACTCACTCTTACTCTGCTCTTACCTTGGTCCACCCCCTTTGGTTTCTAAGGGAGCCTCCTTTTACCTTTGCACATACTTCCCAGGAGCCTGGCCAAGGTCTCTTCTTGTACCCCACTGTACTTCTCTGCCCAGGGGAACATCACTCTGAGGCCGCTGAGGCAGAATCAAATGCCAGAATCAATTGGGGTGGAGGGGACCAGGCTGGATCTGGGGACCAGGGACCCTCAGTGCAGGACCTAGTCCTTTATTTCCCCTCTATACAGAATGGTGGGGGGGTCCTCCCCAGTGGCGCAGCAGTTGACTGCTGGGTTGCGAAGCTGCCTGCAGCTTCTGCAACGCCAGTTCATCCCTGGCCACTGGCGAGGGTCCCACATGGCGCGCAGACCTCTCCTGCCGCCCGCTGCTCCCCTCAGCAGTGTACTTCGTCAGTCTGCCTGCTCTGCTCCCCGCTCTGGCTCTGGTGAATTCTCTCACCCTCCCGCGCTTCCGACTGTACCCAGTGCTTGTATAAATAAATAAATAAATCTTAAAAAAAAAAAAAAAAATAGAATGGTGGTGGGGATGTCAGTCTATAAAGGCCATTACTTGGAGATATTTTTGCTTGTTGGGTATATTTTTCACCTTCAACAAAGTTAAAGTCATCAAACAAGTTACACGTGATGGTTGGGGAAAAATTAGAAAATACATTCCTGTTCCTGCTGGCACCCCTTAGGCCATGTTCCCACCCCCTACCCCTGCTCCCTTTGCTGGGAAATGCTCACGTGCCCAAGTATAGATGTGCAACATGTGTACCGTCCCTGCCCTAGGAGCTGTGACCAGCAAGGTCACTGGTCACTTGGAGGTCGGGCCCCACCCACTGCCCTGGACTGGCTGGGAGCAGGTTTCTATTGCCCCGGAGGAAGGGACCCGCCTGCTCTGGCCCGGCCAGCACTGCCTTTCCTTACCCTTGGCTGCTGGTGCAGGGCAGGATGCGAAGCAGCCCACATCTCCTGGGGCTGGTATCCAATATCATCAAGTCTTTCCCAGATTTTCAGAACTGGACATTAGCCAGAGGGGCTGGGATTTAGGGAGGGGATTGTAGCCGTTCAGGGGCCTGTACCACCTTGTTATACAGAGGAGAAGGGAATCCTCAAGGTCACACCCGTGAGCAGCCTGGAGGGGGGTGGATGGGTAGACTCTGGTCATACACAGGGTGCCTGTCTCCAGATCCCCTACCTCTCTATCATTTCCTCTGTCCTCTTGAGTATGTTTGTGTGTACTATGCCTGTCACATTTATGTCTCCACTTCTACCCGTTTCCCTTTATCTCTTCTTCCTGACATGATATACCAGAAAGAATATGAGCTGCAACATCAGGCAGGGCTAGATTCAAATCCTCTTCTACCACTTATTGGCTTGTGACTTAGGGTAAGACATTTAGCCTCCCTGAGCCTGTTTCCTCATTAGCGTGGGGATAAAGTAAATTAATGTCATTATACAGTTAATCTGGTATGTTGCCCTCAGAAAAAAAAACATCCTTCTTATAAGTGGGGGTGCTGAGATTCACACCCAGACCTGTTTGACTCTGAAACCAGTGCTTTCTGTTCATAGGGCTGCTTCTGCTAGAGGCTAGAACGGTGAACTGGAGAGGCAGAAGAATAGAGAATAGGAACCCATAGGCAGCTGGCACCAAGGAACTGCTCCCCACAAAGCTGTGCGTGGGGTTAGCCTCTGCTACCTCCATGGCCCTATATAGCAGCCATGTCAGGCTGAGCCAGTGGCCTTCCTTTGGGGCCTGTGGGCCCCGGCCTATTTGCATGGGGGGCTATAAATAGTCAGCACACCTTGCTTTTGTGTTGTTTCTTTACCCCCTGACCTTCTCCCAGGTGTTCAGACATTGTGAGTGGGTGAGTATGGCTCCCCTGTGCAGGGGGGATCTGTGTACCAGAGCTCAGTACCTCCCTCAGGGTTGATGAAAGCAATGCATGGGTGGAGGATGCCAGCTCATGGTATTTGTCTCTCTCCTGGGGTCTTGGCAGTGCACTGGAGGAGGTAGTGGTGGTAGAACCTCTACCAGGACCTGTGGCCTAGTTTTAGTATTAGGCAGTTGAAGCTGGGTGACTTGATCCTAGGGTTACTGCTGATTTACCTCAGAGCGGCCCTCACATCCCACTGGTCCCCCTCCTCATGGCGCTGTGGCTCTGCAGCTTGGGGCTGGGACCAGGGTTTGCTGTGGTTGTGGTTTTCCCTCCAGTGGCTTCTAAAGAGTAGCAGCTGCTCTGGTGTGACAGAGAGCTGGAAGGTAGGCCTGATAGGCAGTCTCTGCCCCTCAAGACTGCCTTTCCTCACGCTCCTGGGACTTCTCTGACCCTCTGTCTCTCCATGCAACCCTAGGGTGATCCCCAAGTACAGTTCCTTCTGGGTAACTGGGGGCAGGGGTTGTCATAGAGCCCATGGGCCATCTGGGCTGGGTGCAGGGGGACACAATGGGGAGGAGGAGCTGCTCGCAAGTGTGTGGCACACCCGCTGCTCAAGGTGGGCAACTCTGTGTTTTTGGAGAATTGCTTTTTTACTCTGAGAAGTGGGACCAGTTACCAGGACTGTCTTCCCCAGGTCTTGGATGGATGGGATAAATGCATTGTGGGATGTGAGTGTATTCTGCACTCTGGGAAGGAAGATGCACAGGTGAGAGATGGGTGCTAAAAACAAGAAGGATGACAGTGATAAGAGGACCCCATCCTGAGGCCTGTAGGGTGATGTTGGCTCTCATCCTACACAAATTCTCATCACCCTGACAACCCTTTCCCAAAGACCATACCTCCTCAGGAAGATGGAGTTCACTGAGACCTATAGAGCCAAGAAGCCTGTGCAGAATCCCACAGCTTCTGTTGGTGTCGGAAATTTGGCCAACATTTTGCCATCTGGGGCTCCCTGCCTGCTCTCTTCCATGAGCCTGGCCCCCTGCAGCATATTTCTTTGTCCCAGCCAACCTTTCCCTTCATCCTCCAAAACCCTGAGAAAGGCTGTCAGTACCCTCCCTGCGCTTCAAGCTTGTCCTGCTGGGAAGCATGAGGGTGTGCTATGTCTGCTGGGGTTGGGCTCTGGGCATGCTGACCAGTGGGAAATGTGCTCTGGGCCCTCCTGATCACTCTAGACCCCAGGGAGCATTCACCTGGATGTCCCATACCTTGGACCCCCCAGGCCAAACAGGAGGGGCATGATATCCTTTCTGCTTGAGAGTCTGGGACACTTGCCCAAATTCCTACACATATTCCTACCAGGCCCATGCAGTGCACTTTGCACTTGTAAACTGAGAGCCCACCGTGTGCCACCTGCTCACAGGCACACACATTTCCACAACTGTGCAGTCACACCCACATGCATCATCACACACACCTACATGCACGCTCATGTGTGCTCCAGCCCCAGAAGGAGCAAGCAACAGCTCCCTGTCTACCTAGAGGTAGGGGTTGGGGGAGGGGGTATGGAGGGTTGGGGGCTGACCTTCCTGGTCTCAGGCTAAAGGCTTTGGGACCCACACTCAGATGTGAGCTTGCACCCCAACTCACTCCCTCTGAGTTGTAGCGAGGCCCTGGCAGGGGACATTGAGGGGGTCTGCCCCACTTGGCCCCTGCCTTGTACTCTGGCTGCTGGCCTCAGAGGACTGGCCGGGCCACTGGGTTGGGCTGCAAGCTGAGGTTAGTGTTTCCTGTGAGCTCATCTGGACAGGGAGCTCCCGGCAGACCCGGCTGCTTCTCTAGCTGCCTTGTGGAGGAGCCGGGGAGCCATTCTGGGGACAAGGCGCATGTTGAGTGTGCACACGTGTGTGTGGGGGACGGGGTGCATGTCTGCATCCACCTCAATGTGGCTGATGTTCAGGAGGGAGTGAACACATATGCATATGCCCCTCAATGCATGTTCATTCAACCTCGGTTACAGAGGCGGAGCCAGTGTCCATGCACATGTATGATGTGTTCATGTGGATCCACCATATGAGTGTCTTCCTCCCAGACAACCTGAAAGACCCTCATGGTCATCTGTAGTGATCCTTGATTTGAGGGACTTTGAAGATCGATGAATTGTGTGACTGACCTGCGTGGTTTAAAAAGCACATTCAGCATGACGTTAGACATAACATCACTTTTTATCTGTGATAACAAAGAGCTAGTGTGCAAGTGCAGGCAACCTTCTGGGTGGTGAGGGGCACCTGATCCCAAGGGACCTGGATTCAGAAGGTCAGACCCACTGGCAATGGGCTAGGAGCAGGGTAGCAGGGGTATGGTGGGGAGCATTTTCACTGCCCTGCTCCTGGACACAACAGTGCTTAATTAGTGGAATCCCAGGTTTAGGGTCTGAGCTCCTTCATCTTTAAAGTGGGGGTGCTCATCTTAACCCTACTTGTCAGCCTGGGTAGAGTGAAAAATGAATTCAGGAAGGCTGCAAGGGCAGGAGAGGCTATTGTCTGCCCATGTGGCAGGCACTGTGCTCAGCACATAGTAGGTGTGCCGCAAACTGGGTATTAAAGTTGATGTTGAATGACTCCCCAAATGAATGACTCAGGGGTCACAGACTCATGCTTCCAGGTAGGTTTTGGAGAGTGGTGAGGGAGCCTCTGGCCTTGAGTAGATTGCCAGGGGTACCCAACAAAGTGGGCAGCTATCTCAGTGCCAGCCAGCTATTTGTGGCATGACGCAAATCCAAACATAAGACACTGATAGCTGGGACTAGTGCTTTTCAAACACCACATTGGCCAAACTCAATGCTGTGAGAGCCCCAGGAGAATCAGGTACCCTGGCACCTCCCATGGCTGGTCCTGCCCTGCTGACCAGCTTCACCCCTTCTGTCTAAACAGCCCCGCTGCAGGACCCAACATGGCGCCCTTCCTGCGCATCGCCTTCAACTCCTATGAGCTGGGCTCCCTAGAGCCTGCAGATGAGGCAAGCCAGCCCTTCTGTGCTGTGAAGATGAAGGAGGCACTCAGCACAGGTAGGGCTGAGCCTGGGCCCTGGTGAGCCAGCAGCAACCATGGGGCTGGGAATCCGGGCCTAGGGGGAAGCACTGGAGGGGCCATGCCTTATTCCTCTAGAACCCCTGAGGGATCTTTTCCTCACCCTTGTCCCTGCCCAGCACAGCTGTGGGTACAGGACAGCAGAAGCTACCAAGTGCCTATGGGACCTCTGCACTGGGTGCTTCCCCAGCAATTCCCATGTTCCTGTCTGTGCCAGGCCCTGTATTGGCACCGAGGACACTGCCACGCTCCTGAGCTGACTTAGCTTTCCCTCCTGGGGTTCATTATTCAGGTGGGAGAGCCTGACAATGAGTTCTGTGATAGAGAAGCCGTTAGGAAGCACTGTCTCGGACTGGAGTCAGAGAGATCTTCCTGGAAGAGGCAAACATTTCATGCCATTCTTTCTAGCTCACCCCCTTACCTGGTAACCCCCTGGCTCATCCCTTAGGTCTCAACTGAGCTGTCCCTTCCTCCAGGAAATCTTCCCTGATCCTCAGGCTGGGGCAAGCTACCCAACCATGTGGGTCTAGAGCCACTTGCCTCTTCAGTCTCATCATAGCTGTGGTTTAATATTTGTTTGAGGGTTAAATTGGTTCATGTCTCTTAAGACGACAGGCACCAGGTTTAAGTTCTCTTTTTGCCATGTTCCTCACCTCCGATCCCTGTGGGACCTCTCAGCCTGTGTTCGCTGGGTGAATGTGTAAGGGAAGGTGGTGAAAAGGAAGTGGGGCTGGAGGAAGAGGGTCACAGGAAGAGGGAACAGCAGGAGTGAAGTCTGGAGGTGGGACCTAGCAGGGTGTTCTAGAGGAGCCACTGCAGTTGTGTGCTCTGGAGTGAGGCGGGCTGGGAGCAGCACACAATTACGAAGGCTGAGGAACAGAGACTTGGTCTCAAGGACACTGGGCAGCCACAGTGGACCCTCAGGAGGGGAGAGATGGGCAAATTCTATCAGACTGGTGGTGTGGGAAGCCCAGAGAGGGAGGGACAGAAGGGCCCTGGCCCAACCTTGCTGCCCGGCCCCATTGCAGAGCGTGGGAAGACTCTGGTGCAGAAGAAGCCCACCATGTATCCTGAGTGGAAGTCGACCTTCGATGCCCACATCTATGAGGGCCGTGTCATCCAGATCGTGCTGATGAGGGCAGCTGAGGAGCCAATGTCCGAAGTCACAGTGGGTGTGTCTGTGCTGGCCGAGCGCTGCAAGAAGAACAACGGCAAGGCTGAATTCTGGGTGAGGGGCTCTCGAACTGTGGTCCCATGTAGGTGTGTATGTGAGTGCATGTGTGGGCAGCACAGTGAGTGAACACTGCCTCAGGCCACCGGTCCTGCTCTAGGCGCTGGTACAGCCCAGTTTCAGATGAGATTGGGTGCGTTCAGGGTGGTATGGCCGTAGACCAGCCTAGTTTCAAATCCCAACTCTGCAGTCAGTCGAGCCCCAGCCTTTCTGAGCCTTTGTTTCTGAATCTGTAAAAAACCCTAGCTCTGGGTCATTTGTCTAACTGAAATGAACAACTGTACTTGAAGAGTTTATTGTAGTACCTGACACACTGGAGGTGCTAAATCAAGCTGTCTTCCTTAATGTAGCTACTTTTTCCTCCATTTAGTTCTGTAAAGGTGGGTTATGTGCAATGTCAAATATTTCAGATTATATGAAGGGTAACACCAGGCACCATGTCCCCTCTCAGAGGCACATTTCATTCCCAGTTCTCTCTGGAAACTTCAGATATTCCAGGCCCAGGCTGCCATTGGGGAACAACAGTTAATGATCTTCAACAGCGAGGAGTGGGAGGAAGTAAAGACTGTGGCCCACCCATTGGCATGCTGACTCTGAACACGCCTGCGGCTGTGTCCCTAGTGCAGAGCATTCCCCTCCCCCCCAGGATTACCTGTGCCTCCTCCAGCCCGAGATGTGCTCACTGGAAAAGATTCTGTAGCCAGTGGAAAGTCTGGTCAGCCTCCAGTAAGGGGTGAGGGCTGGGCCAGGAGGAGAAGCTGACCCAGGACTGCACTGACCCTTGGCTAGTCAAGCAGAGATACTTACTCATTGTCTCCTAAGGGGTGATGTCTGTCACCAGGCCTGGGTCCTGGGGATGTGAGGGTCTAGTCCTCAGAACCAGCCTGAGCCATGTGAGGAGACTACATGAGCAGAGCCCCTGACATAGACAGGACATCAGCAGGGTGTGTCTGTGTGTGTGTGTGTGTGTGTCTCTGCATGTGTGAGGGGAGAGGGAGGCTTCATTCTAAGATCTGTTAAGGGGGCAGCCAGAGGTAGGGTGGGGAGTTTCCCTTCCCACTCTGTTCCCAGGCCATATGGCCAGGCTGGGTGTGGGCTGGATCCTTTCACTTCCCCAAATGTAATAATACCCCGGGTAGGGGGGCGGGGCTCACGGGCGGGTCCCTGCTCACTCTGGGTTGACAGTTGTCTGGCTAGACTGCCAGGACTCCCTTGGCCTTGGGGGACCAACCATGGGGGCGGGTTCCCAGTGGGCCTTGGCCTGGGCCCGCCCTCATTGACCCCTACCTCTACACCCCTGTAGCTGGACTTGCAACCCCAGGCCAAGGTGTTGATGTCTGTGCAGTATTTCCTGGAAGACATAGGTAAGACCCTCCCTACCTGGGCTGGGATGTACATTTAGAGATTGGAGCCAGGATGGAAGTTTAGGGGGCCACCCTGGGAGGGATTACAGCGGGGTTGCCTTCCCAGACCCTGGAGCTTAGACTGACTTCACCACTCCATGCGCCCCAGATTGCAAGCAGTCAATTCGGGGTGAAGACGAGGCCAAGTTCCCAACAATGATCCGCCGAGGAGCCATCAAACAGGCTAAAATCCACTACATCAAGAACCATGAGTTTATCGCCACCTTCTTTGGGCAGCCCACCTTCTGTTCTGTCTGCAAAGATTTTGTTTGGTGAGATCTGGCTGTGCCCACTGAGGGTGGTGCTGGGGGCAGTGTTGGCAGTGGTGCTCCCACATCCAAGCATTTACTCCTCCTTCCATAAGCTTACCCTCTCTGGGATTTGCCTTTCAGGGGTCTCAACAAGCAAGGCTACAAATGCAGGCGTAAGTGTCCCCACCACTCAATTCATACACATGTGCCACTGGTGCCCAAGTACATTCACAGGAAAGCCTGTGTCCCTTGTGTTGGGACTGTGTGTCTGGACCAAGGACTCTTTGCTTGAGTGCACACTTGGGACATTTGCACAGCAGAGTGTATGTGTGTACAGTAGCTCTGATCAGTGAGTGCTGGGACAGGCTTGTTCCTGCTCATGAAAGCCAGTTTGCATATCTCTTCCCAATTCTTTGTGTTCAGTGACATCAGTTTGGTAGCCTGAATTGGCCACAGCGGAGCCTTTACACAGAGATCAGCCAGTGCTATGGTCCAGGGCTCTTTGCCCGCACTACACATGTGCTTCTGTTCAGAGGAGTGCATATCTGGGTGCACGCATATGGCATGCCTTCCTCAGCTATGGTGCGTGCATGAGGCCGTGTGGGAAGGTGGTTATGAGCTCAAGCTCTGGAGCCAGATTACTTAGATTTGATCCTAGCTTTTCCACTTCCCAGATGTACGAACTTGGGCCCTTTGTGCCTCAGTTTACTCATCTATAAAATAGGGATAATACAGTCATGGGGAAGGTCAAATGGGATAAAATATGTAAAGCTGATGTGTGACAGGCTCATGGCCGGCATTCTATTTAAGAAGGCTATTGTCATTATCTCACGTGCTGAGTATGTATGTCTAGGTGTCTTTGTGTTGGGGTGTGTCTGTGCTCATGTGTGTGACAGAGAACTTAGGATCTTTTTGCTATCCTGGGCATGGAAGAGGGAAAGAGGGACTGGGCTCCCTGCTTCTAGTTGAGCCTTCCCTGATCTCTGCTACCTTCCAGATTGGCCTGTCTTCCCTGCCCCATCCTTTCCAGGCCCCGCCTGCTAGGGCTGGTCCAACAAGAGAAAAATCAAGCTCTGGGCCCAAGGCCTTTGTGGGGCAAGGGTGTGGGCGGTCAGGGAGAACTGTGGCTTTGTATAGAGGGCTGGACTGGGCCAGTGAGCGCCAGCTCACAGCCTCTGCCCCTCCCGGTGTCTTCCCATCCCCCTCCTGCTTTTGCCTCCTCAAGAATGCAACGCTGCCATCCATAAGAAATGCATCGACAAGATCATCGGCCGGTGCACTGGCACAGCGACCAACAGCCGGGACACCATAGTGAGGCCCTGGGCTCCAGGGATCAGGGGGGTTTGGTCAAGTGGGAGGGATTTGGGCTCTCCCCACCCCTTCCCAGGGGCGCTCGCCCTTCCTCTCTGATTTTCTTAGTCTTGTCCTCTGACTTGGCTCCTTTGGCCCCTGGATTTCCCAGCTCCCAGTGACGCTGTCTTGGGCATCTTGTAGAGAATCAGAGGCTAAAGAAGCTGGCATGTGACCCTGATTTGTAACCCTCCCTCCCACCCCTCAGTTCCAGAAAGAACGCTTCAACATCGACATGCCGCACCGCTTCAAGGTTTACAACTACATGAGCCCCACCTTCTGTGACCACTGTGGCAGCCTGCTCTGGGGGCTGGTGAAGCAGGGATTAAAGTGTGAAGGTGCGTGCCCCTATCTTGGGATAGCTGTGAGGGTGGAAGGACCCTCCCCAGTGGTGCTCCAGGTAACTAGCACTGCCTTTCCCCCTCGCTCAGGCTTTTCATATGGTTGAGGCTGGGGTGGCTATCCCCACTGGCATGACCGGCCTTGCCATTTACCCACTCTGTGACCACTGGGCAGGTGGTCCCACCCCTCGAGCTCAGTGTGCTCAGTGTAAAATGGGGTAAGATTTAAAGTAGGACCAGGGCCTCCCTGGTGGCCTAGGGGGTTAAGTCTCAGTGCTGTTACCACTATGGCCTGAGTTCTATCCCTGGCCAGGGAGCTGACCCACATTTAGCGCAGCAGACCTCTCTTGTCTTGCCCATTGCTCCTCTTGGCAGTGTATTGCAGTGGATCTGCCTGTTCTGCTCCCCACTCTGTCTCTGGTGAATCCTCTCACCCACTGTACCTTGGCCTACATCCCAGTTCTTCTATGCAACAATTAAAGGAAAAAAAAATAGTAAAGTAGGACCCAGACTTACTGAAGGGCCTGGCAGCAGAAGGTGCTTGGCCTAAGCCCTGCCACAGGCTAGAAGGCAAGCCGCCTTCACAGACCCATCCCTTGGCCCCACACTTCACTGAGAGATGAGAAGAGATGCCCAAGGGAAAGTCACTTGTCTGGGTTGTTCCAGGATTCTTCGAAGGGCTTAGAATTAGGCCCCATATGTTCTACTTTCCTTTTCTTCTTTATTTTTTTTAAAGATTTATTTATTTATACATATAAGAACTGGGTACAGTCCAGAGCTGTGGAGGGTGAGAGGACTCACCAGAGATAGAGTGGGGAACAGAACAGGCAGCCTGAAATACACTGCTGAGGGGAGCAGCGTGCGAGACAGGAGAGGTCTGCTGTGCCATGTGGGTTGCACCCTGGTCAGCTGGGGATCAAACTCATGCTGCAGAGGCTGCGGATTGCTTCATAGTGAGGTGCTTAACCCTTTGTGCCACCAGGGAGGCCCTTCTTTTCTTCTTTAAAGAATGAAAGGTTTGAGGAGCTCTCGATGTCTGCAAATCCATTGATTCATTTTTTTCAAAAGATGGAAAACCCAGTAGATCCACCAAAGCCTTTTTTTCTCCTGCTCTCTCCACCCCTCCCTGCCCTTGGGGCCTGATGGCTGTCCAGCGGTCCCTGCTGGACAGGGCCCTGATGGCCTGCCTCTCCCTCACCCCAGACTGCGGCATGAATGTGCATCACAAGTGCCAGAAGAAGGTGGCCAACCTCTGCGGCATCAACCAGAAGCTCTTGGCTGAGGCATTGAACCAAGTCACCCAGGTGGGTAGGCATGTGGGAGCCCCATATAGAGGATAGCAGGGCAGGGGGTGGGAAGTGTCTGTCAGAGTTCACACCCCCTCCTGGGGAACCACAGTAGGGAAGTTTATATCCAAAACCCCTCTTCTAGAAAATCTAGTTCAAGAATTAGGCAGCAGGGCCTCCCCTGGTGGCGCAGCGGTTGAGCACTGGGTTGCGAGGCTGCCCGCAGCCTCTGCAGCACCAGTTCGATCCCCGGCCACCAGCAAGGGTCCCACAAAAAAAAAAGAAAGACAAAAGAATTAGGCAGCAGCTTATTCTCATGAGAAATGGGATATTCAAGCAGTTCTTTACTTGAGGGTGAACCTAGAGGACTGCAAGTTGGTGTAGGGGGTGGTATGGGGGGCTCGAGGGATGCCACTGAACTGTAAGGTAAATCTTAGAGTCAATGACAAATGAAGGTAATATAAATAAAAATCTTTTGATTAAATGGTTGGGAAGTTGGTAATCAATTTACGAAGCTTCCCTTTCTAATCAGTGCCTTCCAGATGATCAGGGTGTCCTGTGCTTCCAGAAGTGTGTATATGCATGTGCACTGCTTGGGAGTGGGGGTTGTTCCAGACTGTCCCCCATGGGCGTTGAGGGTAGAGTTATGGATGGTTGAAATCCTCCCCCTGGTCTGGGAGTTCTGACATTGGTGTGACCAACTGGCCCCCCAACATCCTCCAGAGATCCTCCCGAAAGGAATCAGAGTCAGAGCCTGTTGGAATCTACCAGAACTTCGAGAAGAAACCAGGAATCTCTGGAGATGATGGCCCAGGTAAAGCTGGGCCCATTTACCCCCAGGAAAGTCCCCTCTCCCCACTAAGGTCCAAGACGGGACCCCATCTCCCTCTGCTGTTGAGTGAGACCTAAGAGGACGTACCTCTCCTGGAGAAGGGGGCCCCTTCTCTCTCAGCCTCCTTGCCTCAAACTCTTTGGGCCTCAAGAGAGGGGAATTGGCAGACAGAGACCTGAGTCTTAAGCACCATCTCTGCAGACAGTGCAACCTACGGCAAGATCTGGGAGGGCAGCACCAAGTGTACCATCGACAACTTCATCTTCCACAAGGTCCTGGGCAAAGGCAGCTTCGGAAAGGTGAGGGGCTGCCTGGCCCCGGGGTAGCCCCAGGGACCCGGGCCCAGGAACCCAGGGGCCCCTGCTTCTCAACTAAGCTGGCTTCTTCCTGGTTGGGTGCAGAGGCTGGGAGTCAAGTGGTGGGACTGTGGTACCCTGACCTTTGGCCTGACCTTCCCTTGCTTAGCATTTTCACCTACCGGCAGGTGCTACTGGCGGAGCTCAAGAACAAAAAGGAGTTCTTTGCTGTCAAGGCCCTCAAGAAGGATGTGGTTCTGATCGATGACGATGTGGAATGCACCATGGTGGAGAAGCGGGTGCTGGCGCTCGCCTGGGAGAATCCCTTTCTCACCCACCTCTACTGCACTTTCCAGACCAAGGTGCCCAGCTGCCCACTGTAATTGCCCCTCACTTCCCCAGGGCAGGGCCACGTCTTCTACTCAGGCTCTTGTCCCTCCACAACCCATTTAAGGCAAGGCTGTGTCCCCATCCTCAGTCTTTCCAGGACAGGATCATTCTCCTTCCTCATCCTCAGGGCAGAGTTGTCCCCTGCTTCCTACTGGGGCTTGCCCCTGGTGGCCATCCTTTTGCCTCTGCTCACCACCCTCCCCACCCCAGGAACATCTGTTCTTCGTGATGGAGTTTCTCAATGGAGGGGACCTGATGTTCCACATCCAGGACAAAGGCCGCTTCGAGTTGTACCGTGCCACGTACGTGAAGGCCCTGTCAGTCTGCCTTTTGTCCCTTCTTCCCTCCCTGGAGAAGCCAGCCTGGGCTACAGCTGGGGTTGGGGAGATTCAGGGTTACCTCGGCCATCCCCACCAAATGGGAACCCATGGGTGGTAGGGGGCTCTGGCTGGGAGCACAGAATGGACATGCCAGATCCTGTCCCCTCTTTGGGCCCAGGGCAGGCACCCAGGTGGTGATCCTGCATGACATAGGACCCTGGTGTGTGCATCCCCAAGCTGAGTGTGTGAATGTACACAATGTGTACTGCAAGTACACTTCTGTCTGCTTTGGAGCTTTTCTTTCCTGATTTCCTTCTCTGGTATGGCTGCCAGTCCCCACTTGCCTAATGCAAGATATGCTTGATCAGGTCCAGGTTGTCTGTGGAGTTATTTACAGTATTTCCTGCCCCCAAGCATGGGGATGAGGGCCCAGGGAGAAGCAGAGACTGGTCAGCAGAAATCCCAGAACTCTTTTTCTTTTTTCCAGGTTTTATGCAGCCGAAATAATCTGTGGACTACAGTTCCTACACAGCAAAGGAATCATTTACAGGTGTGGGGACTGGGACCTGGGGAGTTAGAAGGGGAAGCCCCAACCCTGCCATCTCCTCCAAAAGGCTCTGGGTGGAGGCTGGCCGGCCCAGCTGTGGCCTCATCTCCACTTGGAGTCAGCCTTTAGTTGGGTACTTGCCTAAACCTCCTACTCCATTGCTAGAATTCCTTGTGGTCCCTCAGCTGAGGCTGGCATGGCTCCAAGGCTAGGAACTCACTGCCCATACTCAGTGCCATTGGTGGGAACACTGCACTGACTGGCACAGCATCTGCCTTCCTTGAAGCCATCGGAGCATCTAAGCTTCCACTCACGCCCTTCAGGGCAGTGGTGTCCCGTGCTTTCTATTGGGGCGGGGACTGGTTCCACAAATTCTCGCCTAATAAATGATGGTCCCTTCCCACAGTGGATTACTATGCATCCATTCAAAAACTGTGCCACACTCTGTTACTGATGTGGGATGATGCTGAGATTACGTTGTCAAGTGGAAATCCAATCCGCGAGGCAGCACATACTGAATGTGAACATTCAGGGTCAGGATGTGATGCATGTTGTAATGTGCTTGTCCATGCCTAGAATCTCTCTGGGGCCATCAAGGTTAATAAAAGATGGACTTTGCACTCTTTACCCTTCTTAGTACTTGTTCCAAGTGCATAAATTATCTAGCCAGACAACTGACTACATAAAAACAGACATGGTCCTTGCCCTTGTGGAGTCAAGCAAATCTGAGTCCTGGGGCCACTTGGCCCGCTGACCAGCTGAGCACATTTGATGCTGAGCAGATTTAACCCCTCTGAGTGTCACTTTGGATTCAGGAAGTAGGATGGTATGTCCAGCATGGAGCACACAGTAGGTGGCTTACAGAAAGCACTTGGTTTCTGCACCTCTTTCCCTTCCTTTTCTTCACACTTGTGTCCTCCTGGGGAGATCCTAGACTTATGGTACTGAAAATGGGGCCATGGCGTGGAGAAAAGGAGGGAGGTTGGCCCTTGATGACTCCCTTTCCCATCCCCTCCCCTCAGGGATCTAAAGCTGGACAATGTCATGCTGGACCGGAACGGTCACATCAAGATCGCTGACTTTGGGATGTGCAAAGAGAACATATTTGGGGATAAGCAGGCCAGCACCTTTTGCGGCACCCCTGACTACATAGCCCCTGAGGTGAGCGGGTACCCCCTGTCCACCAGCCGGGTCGGTCACCTTGTCTCAACAGGGCAGGGCCAGGGAGGCTTCCCAAGGATGGTGATGTCCAAGCCAAATCCAGGAGGACCAGGGCTCTTGCATGGGGCCCCTCTCAGCTCTGCACCCCTTCTCCTGCCCTAGATCCTGCAGGGTCTGAAGTACTCGTTCTCCGTGGACTGGTGGTCCTTTGGAGTCCTTCTCTACGAGATGCTCATTGGCCAGTCCCCCTTCCATGGGGATGATGAGGACGAACTCTTCGAGTCCATCCGTGTGGACACACCACATTATCCCCGCTGGATCACCAAGGAATCCAAGGACATTCTAGAGAAGGTTGGAGACCCAGGGGTGACTGCTGGGGCAAGGATAAGCAGACATTGGGTCTCAGGAATGCCAGGAGCTTCCTATCCCTGGAATGGCAGCCTCACTGATGCTCTAGCCCTAGCATATTGGGAGGTATTGCTTTGTTGCCTCATTCCCAGGAACTTCTCTCTCAGTACCCTACACTAGTCGGGCATGATGACAGAGTGAGGAGACAGGCCGAACCTAGGTGAAATTCTGGCCCTGTCTCCTTGTGTGCAAAATGAGAGAACCTGCCTCACAGAGTTGGCGGGAAGAAAACATAAGTATGACACTCAACTGAAGCATCACAGAAAGTTTGCTTACTGGCACAAAGTTTGCTTTCTGTGCCAACCAGAAAGCAAACACTCAATAAATGGCCAGCTATTCTCTTACTCCCTAGGCTTACCAGCAGAGTCCAGGAGGCCCTGCTCTATGGCCTTTTGTCTCAGGGGGCATGGGAGCACAGCAAGCCAGAGAGGATGCCTTTATCCCAGACTCTGTGCCACTAGACTGACCTTGACTTGCCTGGACACCCCTGGGCCCACTTGGGGTTTGCTGAGGCTCTGATTTCCCATAGCCCTCGGGTGCTAATTGGAGCTCCTGTTGGGTTGCAGCTGCTTGAAAGGGATCCAACCAAGAGGCTGGGAGTGACAGGCAGAATCAAGTCTCACTCCTTCTTCAAGACCATTAACTGGACTCTGCTGGAGAAATGTGCATTGGAGCCGCCCTTCAAACCCAAAGTGGTATGTGAGCCTGCTCCTCTGGGAACCACCCACTTACTGTGATCCCCCACCGTCTTCTGGATGTGCTCCTCTGTTGCCCTGCCTCCTCCCCACATCATTTACATGCTTTCCTTCTCTCTCTTCTCCCAGCAAACCTGCTTCCCTGACCTCCTAGCATATTCAGTCACAGCCTCTGCCTTGTATGCTCACCCTTTTCCTCAGTCAGTCAGTTATTCAACAAACATTGTTAACTGTGGACCCAGCCTTTCTTTCACATACACATTCCTTAGAGTTTGGCCTATACAGGGGACTGCTTCAGGGATCAGAGTTAGGGCCTCATTTCCTTGCTCCATCTATCCATCCAATCCACTTTCCAGTAAATGTAGGAATTTCTGAGTGCCTGTATGTGCAGAACGCTGTGCTGGGCTATACAGCAAAATAAGATGTTCAGTCCAGAGCTGGAGGAGCCCCAGCTAGTTGGGGAGATAAGAAACTTGCCCCCTGATGATCACTTATGATATAAAACAGCAGTATGAGAGATGTCACAAGGCCGCACATGATCTGTTGACCTTGGGAATGTCCGTCAGCAGGAGCCTGGGGTGGGTCTGAGAAGGAGCATGTGGTAAGGGAGACCAGGGCAGGCAGAGGGCAGCTGGGAGGCTTTCCAGGTAGAGGAGGGATAACACAATGGCCCAGTATCTGCAGAGGCCACTGAGGGGCTAGCAGGAGAGCAGAAACAGCCTGGACTACATGGCCTTTTCTGACCACAGTTTTCGCTCCCACTCCTATTCTTTGCTTCCCCTCCTCCATCAGGACACACTGTTCCCAGGGCTCCATATTTGTGCCTTGAGGCTGTAGCGCTTCCCTACACCAGGGATCCAAAACTTAGATGCCTCCCAGGCTGGGCACGTCATGTTTCTAGTCTCTGATTTTTGACACAAAGAGGGATAGATTGCTTTCTCTGCACTAAGAAACTCGAGGCAGGCACGATGCTCCTCAGCCTGGCAGTGGGAAGTAGTGGGGCTCGTGGCGAATTGTCTGAGGGAACTTCAACACCCAGACTGGATGTTCTAGGAAACCAACCAAAGGCTGCTCAAAACTCAGCACTTCCAGATTTCAAAAGAAGCCAAACATCTTTATTTTTATGTCATATTACCTTATTTTTAAATATTGGCTCAAAATCCATTAAATCCCAGTGCTAGTCCAAATAATTATACCTGTGAGCCCAGTTTGACCTGTGGGCCACCAGCCTGAGACTGCTGTCTGTTACCATGTCATTGTATCCTCAGGAGACTTTTTCTTTGAGCCCAGTAGTAAATATTTTAGGCTTTGCAAGACAGGCAGTCTCAAAGCAGCTCCATATGATGTGTCTATGTATGGGTAAGGCTGTGTACTAATATAATTTCATTTAGGGACACAAATTCCAATTTCATTTAATTTTTATATATCATGAAATATTATTCTCCTTTTGCTCTTTTCCTAAACATTAAAAATGTAAGTCTTATATCTAAGTCTCATAGGAAAATAAGATAAAAATGTGAAAGTCATTCTTAGTTTATGGGACCTACAAAAACCAGGTAGCCAGTAGGCTTTGACCCATGAGCTATGGATGCCAGAAACCTCCCCAGGAAGATGCCCACCTTTCCTTTCAAGCCCAGAGTTGCCTGCCCATTTTATTCACCTCCTTGGGGTAACAGCATTGGGCTTCTAGCTGGGGCTGCTCTCAGTCTGTAGGGAGAGGGTCCATGTTCTGCTCTTACTAAGGACAGTGGCTCTGACCCCACCCACCCCAACAGGCATTCTGGTCCTGGGGGCAGGTCCCTGGAAACTCAGGAACCTTCTCAGGAAGGCCATCCCTTAAGTTCATTCACTCACCCCTGCCCTCTGCCCACAGAAGTCCCCTGGAGACTATAGCAACTTCGACCAGGACTTCCTGAATGAGAAGCCACGCCTTTCCTACAGCGACAAGAACCTCATTGACTCCATGGACCAAACAGCATTTACTGGCTTCTCCTTTGTGAACCCCAATTTTGAGGGGCTCCTGGAAAAGTGAGGTAGCCAGACATGCCCTCCAACCTACGCTAACCAGAGAGCCTGGGCCAGCCAGCATGGACATGACCTGCCCACCTACCTGGGGCAGAGCAGGCTGGGCGCCCCCTTCATTGATACCTGCCCACCCTCAATGATAAGCAACTGAGTGACTATAGTGATTTCTGCTGCTGCCCCTCCCTTACCCCCCAGAGGACTCTCGGCTCTTGTCTGGTTGGGCTTTTATGGTACTTCCTCTGTGAACTGTGTGTGAATTTCCTTTTCCTCTGTTCTCAGAGAGAAATTGTAAATCCTGTGTTTCATTACTTGAATGTAGTTATCTATTGAAAAAAATATATGTATATATATATGTGCATGTATATATATATACACATATACTATAGGCTGTATATATTACTCAGAAAAAAATGAGAAAACTGGTGAATTGTTGATCTTTTAAAAAAATTATATATATATGTGCATATATATATATATATATATATATATATTCACCAGTAGGTTCCTTTTGTGTATCTAAATAAAGACCACATAGTACCCAACCTGGCTGTCAGGACACATTTGTCCAGGAAGCTGGTGGCTTCTCCTCCCACTCTGGCAGCTCTGTCCTAGAAGCTCTCTGAGCTGTTAGCTGCAGACAGACCCCTGGGCTTTCACGCCAGTGTGTCTGTGTTTATGTTTCCTCTGGCTCTAAGGCCCTGGGCCTAAAGCAGAAGGCTTTTCCAGGTGGCTAAAGGGAACCCCAGATGTGTGTAGGGAGAGATGGGAGGGGGTAGGACCATCAGTCTGTAACAGGAGGCTGAGGGACCTTTCTGGGAGCACAAGACAGAGGTCCTGGTGGGAGGCATGAGCTATAGCTTAGAGGCTAGCCCAGACTGAGGAGGAGCTCAGGGTGGAGGAAGGAAATGCAGCTCAGGCTTGGGGCAGATCTGGATTTAGATCTCAGAATAGCCAAAAGACATGGGTATGTCACTTACCGTAAGCCCCTCTGTTTCCTTGTCTGAAATGGGGACAAGCAAGGCCATGCTAGATGTAATTGCACATCTGTTTATCCCTGTCCTTGCCACAGAGAAGGCTGTCTGAGTTCTAGAATCTAAGCGGTGCTGCTCTCCTCTGTCTAACTGGCGCCCACCTTTCCTTCCTATTCTTCATCTCCTGTCTCTCCCCCTCCCCATTTCTCTCTGGGGCCCAGACTTCCAGCTGGGGCCTCTCTCTGGCCTCTCTGATACAGCCATTCCCCCTTCACTCCCCCCTCCATCCTGTGTCCTTAGAGGTGGGCCAAGGCACCCCCAGCGCCTGATTGGCTGGCCCTGGTCCTTTGGGCCAAGCAGCTGGCTTCCAGCAAGCTCATTTTTCTGGGCTGAGGCACAAGTTTCCACAGAAGGGGGGGAAGGAGGGTGATGAGGTGGGACTGGGGCTGGCCCCAGGGGAAAGGGCTACATGGATGGGGGGACCACACTCCCCAGAGAGACCAAATGTCCCCTCCTTCTCTCCCTCTGCTCTCCTCTTGGGAAACATATGAATCCCTGCTCAGAGTATAGCAGTGAGAAGCCCCAGAGGTGGTGCTTTGTCCTCTTGGGCTCACAGTCAGGTGAGGGACACATGTTATGGCTGTGCTTGGGGGCTCTGGATAGAGTTATAGAAGCCCAGAGGAGGTGCCAGGGATGCTTGTCCCCTCCCTCTGCCAATGCATTCATAGGCCCCAAAAAGTCCCCTGGGGCAGTCCAGAGTGAGTTTAGAATGAAAAGATGGCTGGTGTTTGAATCCAGAACCTCTTGCAATTCTGAGGCAGTCTTGCATCCACCCATTTAGTGTCCTCCTGTGAGAAGGAGGACGGGGGAGGAAGTTTATCAGCTAGAGGCAGTGTAGGGTGGTGGGAAGAACAGGGCACCCAAAATTGGGAGCTGGGCCTTTGAGTTCCACCCACATACTGTGTAACCTGCAAGAGTTTTTTTTTTAACCATGCATTTTTCAATTTAAAAAAATTGTTTATACCACCTTTCCTTTGCATCTTTGAGAGTTACACGTTTAAACATGGAAGGCTCCACAAATTTGTGTGTCAGCCTTGCACAGGAGCCATGCTAATTTCTGTATTGTTCTAATTTTAGTATATGTGCTTCCAAACTGAGCATCACAAGTCTCTATCTGGCCTCAGAGCCCTCATCTGTAAAATGGATCATTAATCCCTTCTACTTGGTGGAGATCCTGGCTCTGGAAACCCCTTAAGGACTGATGCTGGGTACCCCTTTATTCTGGGAAAGGATAGAGGCAGGCCCTGGGAGGCCCACCTCCAGCAGCCTGGGCCGGAAGCAGCTGCTGGGGACACTGCCAAACTGCCTGGGAGGCTGTGTGACTCCAGGCCTGTTCCCAGAGTTGGTAGGCGCCAGGCTTGACCCAGTGGCCTCAGGAAATGCCTCGTGTGGCTGGGCCCAGAGCCACACTTTCACTGAGAACTGGGGGTCTGAAAGTAGACAGACTGCCTTCCCCGACACACACCTGCCAAGTAGGTGTGCAAACAGCAGTGAGCCTCGCCTTCACTGCTAGGACTGGTTAGAGCAATGTGCCCCACCTGAAATGCATGCCAAACCTCACACTCGGTGCTGGGCAGGGTTACAATAGCACAGGAGGGCTTTGGGGCAAGAGCAGGGCTCTACTGTCTGTGGCACTGGGTTCAAATCCTATTTGTCCCTATTTGTGTGACTGCAGTGAGGGACAACCTCCTAGAGCTTCAATTTCCTTCACTGTAAAATGGTGAGAATTGTGCTGTTGCTTGTGCACTAGGATGATGTCTGAAAGCATAACCCATGGCTCAGGACACAGCAGATCTTTAGTTAACAGCAACCACTGGGATCCCATCCCTCTGATGGGATGATTGGAACATGCTCAGGACAGCAGGTTGCACAATTGGAATCCTGGGGCCTTCTGACTGGGCAGCAGGAGGGCAACTTGACAGTTGCCATTAAAACCTAAAAGGCTCTCATCCCAAGACCCCAGGATACCCCTTCTCAGGCAGAACTGCCCATAGTCTCCAGTAGGCTGGCCCAAGATGCCCACCACTGCATGGGAAAAACTGAAAGCAAGCAAAATGTCCAGGGAGCTGGTTAAGTGCTCGTCTGATGCAGAAGGTGATATAGAGCCAAGAGATCCAAGAGCAAGCTAGAGAACCAAAGGTTCAGAGTGATCTCTGTGTGCCATGTGCTTGCTATTAAAGGTACCCAGAGGTCTGGGGGCACAGGGTGAAGCTAACGAGATGAAGGAGGAATGAGTGGGTGAAGGGATGAATAGACTACCCAGACCACAAGTCCCTTTAAGACTGTGCTCTCATTCAGTGCTGATAACATATCCACTCTGTCAGGTTGTAAACAGCAGGTCTCAGCTCTGACTGTACATTGAAACGTGATGCCCAGGCTCCCCGGGTATAATTAAATGGTGCTCTCCGGAGCACCTCCTCTCCCTCCCCTCCCCATACACACTCTCTCTCTCTCTCTCTCTTTCTCTTTCTCTCTCTCTCTCTCTCTCTCTCTCTCTCTCTCTCTCTCTCTCTCTCTCTCTCTCTCTCTCTCTCTCTCATGTATTTTTAAAACCTACAGCAGGGTCCAAAGTGCACCAATACTGACAACCAATTGGATGTGATCCAGGTATCTACATTTCTGAGCAAGCCACACCCTGGAACTTGAAGTCACCAGCCATACTGCCCAGCCCATGTGTGGGAGGGCCACCCTACCTCCTATGCTTGGTCCCCTAAACTTGGTCTTAACCCCTGCAGGAGCGTCAACCACATGCCAAAGATTGGTTAGGGAAAAGTTGCCTGGGGCTGGGCTACAGCGCCCTCTGGTGGTTAGCCAGCTTGCCAGCGCTGCGGACCCACATTCCAGGAAGGACACACTGTGTGCTCAGGTACAGTGTTGGGTTCTTAACTCACACCGTGTCATTAGTCCCTGGTGAAATATTTCAGTAAGGAGATGCTAGAGGGTCATTTTGCATAGGCTCAGAGACACAGAAGTTAAAAATCTAAACAGCTCCCCTTGCATTAAGAGGGTCTCTGGGTTGCCTCAAATCTCCTGGCATCCATCCCAAGGTTACAGTCACATTTCTCCAAACTACTCCTTTTTAAGGTGTGAATTACCTATATGAGCTGGGAGGTTCTTGTTTCCACACAATAAGGAGGTGTGCAGCATTGGGAGAAGGGGCACTCCCCGGGTCTCTCAACTGTAGCCCCAGCCTTTGGAAATGTGATGCCCATACCCAAATTCAGCTTTGTAAGTGGCCTTAGACGACCCCCGATTTCTTCTCTTTCTCTGCTATGAAATACATGCTGTGAAGGCCCTGACATGTGGTGTTCAGCCACATTACACCCTGTACAAAGCCCAAAACCTGGGAAAGTTATTCTTCTTCTGAGAGGGGAGCTGAACTGTTGATATCAACTGTGGGGATAGGTAGAAACTCGCGCTGTGGGTGGGGCGGCAGTGATGGGCTCTGTTCTGAATTCATACGTTCCTTCATGGAACAGGTGCCTGCTCATGCAGGAGATCGATGGACATCTCGTGGAACTATCACCCCACAGGCACGATCCTCTCACTCACCGTGTGGGGCTCAAGAGCTTGTGACAGTGACACTCTGATCCAATCCTGTGCTTGATGTTTCCCCTGCGTTATCAACAGCAATTAATCCTCACAATAACCCCATGAGGAAATGACTGTTGGTCTCCCCACTTTACAAATAAGCAAACAGATGCTCTGAGCATTTAAGGAGTGTAGGGAAATTGGAGTGGCTCGCCTTCCTGCCGCCAGCCTTTACAGCCACCACCTGTGGCCTTGCTTTCCTCCCAGGTTGCATTACCCCCACGTGACATCATGTTGGTGCAAAAAGTGCTTGGGAGCATGAGCATGGGGCACACACAGATGCCCGGGGCCCAGAGGCTTGAGTGCAGGGCAAGAGTGCCTTTGATTACAGACACTTGGGAAGAGAAGCTGAAGAGCACGGGATGTGCATACAGATAAATGCAGACACCTGGCAGGGGATAAGGAGAGGCTGAGACCACCATGTGAGAGGGAGACCAATGCCAGAGAGCAAGGGATAAAAGGGAAGCTATACAGGGGCTAGTGGGGCTCAGTTGCTGCCTCCCTGCCTGCTGGTGTGCCTGTGTCCGGTCCCCTGTTTCAGCATTAAAGATTTGTCATATCGGGCCTCCCCTGGTGGCGCAGCGGTTGAGCGCTGGGCTGTGAGGCTGCCCGCAGCCTCTGCGGCTCTGGTTCAATCCCCGGCTACCGGCGGGGATCCCACATGGTGTGACAGACCTCTCCTGCTGTCCGCTGCTCCCCTCAGCAGTGTATTTCTTCGTCAGTCTGCCTGTTCTGTTCCCTGCTCTGGCTCTGGTGAATTTTCTCACCCTCCCATGCTTCTGACTGTACCCAGTGCTTGTATAAATAAATGGATAAATCTTTTTAAAAAAAAGAGATAATTTATAAAAATTATTGCCTTATATTCCTTACTCCCAAACTTCTTCCTTGCCTTCAAAAAAAAAAAAAAATTTGTCATATCTCACAAGAGCTCCAAAATTCTCTTCTCGTCTGCCCGAATTAACAATGAACGTACTTGGCCTGGGATGGTTGCACAATGACAACTCAATGACTGAGTTGGGGACTCCCTCACCATGGGTTGATTTGGCTCCATAGTGATGTTTCCAGCAGACCCTAGAAGTCTCCTGGGATTGCTCAGGAGCTGTCCCAGGAGAGTGCACTGGTTGCTTATTTGCCCTGGTGGCCGGAGGCCCCTGCATGGGGAGGGTGCGCTAGGATGGGCTGCAGCTGACTTAGGCCGGAAGGAACCTTGCACATCATAAATCTCCAGTGGGAATCTCCATGAAGTCACAGTGGGAAATGGAGGCCAGAGAGGGGAAGGGGCTGGACCAAAGTCACTGCTGCCCCTCTCTCTCATCTCCCCTCCCTCCCTCTGGCATGGGGCAGAGCCAAGGGTAAAGAATAGATAAAAGCAGGGAGGAGGCTGCCAGCCCTGCCTTGTGGCATTAGCAGTGGCAGGTAGCCAAAGCTCAGGGACATCAGAAGTAGATGTCCTCCAGCTGGTGGGTAGGGGAGGCCCACCACCCCAGCTGAGGGCTGGGACCCCATTCAAGAACAAGGCAGCTTCAGCAGGCCACAGCCTGTGAGAAATCTGCCAAGAGTGGTATTGGCAAGCTCACAAGCAGTGAGCTACTTCCTGGGTTTTAAATAATGAGTTCAGAAACAATTCAGTCAATTAGACACACTTGCATCAATATTTTAAGTTAAAAATAAAGCACTTCACAAAAAGCATGCAACGAAAGAAAAATGGTTCTTGTTGGTGTAATTGTTCTTGAATGCCCTGTTTGGAAATAAGTTTTATCTTTAAACCCTGGCTCAATTTGCAATAGTGTGATAATCGAATGCCCTTGTTTCTGTTGGCCCGGGACTCACGGGCAGCCTAGCACACCAGGAGGTGCTGATGGTCAAACCACGGGGCATGGGCTTGGTTTCAGATTTGGGTCTACACCTGCTGGCTCCATCCCCAACTGTTGCTTGCCTCGCTGAGCCTCAATTTCCTTACCTGAAGCTTGTATCTAATAGCGTTGTTAGGAAGTTGATGCATGGAAATCAGTGCAGCTGGACACACAGTGCTCAGGCTACATAAGGGTTTTGTTTTTTTTTTTTTAAGATTTTTTTTTTTTTCTACAAGCACTGGGTACAGTCAGAAGCGCAGGAGGGCGAGAGAATTCACCAGAGCCAGAGCAGGGAGCAGAGCAGGCAGAAGGACCGAAGCACACTGCTGAGGGGAGCAGAGGGCGGCAGGAGAGGTCTGCGCGTCATGCGGGACCCTCCTCTGGTGGCTGGGGATAGAACCGGCGCTGCAGAGGCTGCGAGCAGCTTCACAACCCAGCGCTCAACCACTACGCCACCGGGGAGGCCCAAGGTTCTTATTCTTAATGCCATAACCATTTTACATGTCTTCGTGCAAGTGTGCCTCCTAGCAGTGTCACAAATATGAGACAGGGCTAGACCCAGGCTAGTATCATCTGGGCACCCTGTAGAAAGAGTACACCATTTTCCTGGGATGAAGATCCCTGGATGGTAAGCCAGGAGCGGGTGCCAGACCCAGA